GGGAGGAATAGGGTGGGGTGGGGTGGGAGTGCTTGGCCCCAGGCTGCCAGAGATGGGGCAGGATGGTATGGACTGACTAGCCCTCCCCGTCTCATCCCTTCCCCAGGGAAAGGCCTACTGGTCCTCAATGGGCCCAAGTGGTTCCAGCACCGCAAGCTGCTCACACCTGGCTTCCATTATGATGTGCTGAAGCCCTATGTGAAGGTGTTTGCCGAGTCCACGTGTGCCATGCTGGTAAGCTCCACGTGCCAAGCTCTTAGAAGCTGTGGCTGCTGGCCAGCCCCTCCCCACCCCAATTTTCCCTGGAGGAGGACAGTAAAGAGAATGGCTGAGGCCCTTACCTCCCGGGGCAGTGCCAGGCCTTGCTATACCTGACACCTGCTGTGTGCTGTGTGCTGACTAGGTGCAGAGTCCCAAGTGGCCAGGCATCCCTGGCCCCTGTCTCCACCAGGAGACCCAGCCATTTCTCACAGACCATTCCTGTGGGACCCAATAAGGCTCCTACTGGAGCAGAATGAGGGGTGCCTATATTTGGGAACATGGGGATGTCCATTCATATCTACAAAGTGTTTCCTCATTCCCTCTCTACCACAACTGCCTAAAGCAACACCATTGGCAAGTAATCTCTTAAAGGGATGCAAGGGATTGGGGTCAGGCTCAGCACATCAGGGCTGGATACTCCCCACAGGTTATTTGGGGTAGTCTTTCCCCTTGGAGGAGACTCCACCCCCAGTGTTACCTATGAGCTGACTTACACACAGACTGTGCGAGGCAGCTCACCACCTCTTGGCCTTTTAATTTCCTTCTAGATCAGCTGCCCTGACAGGGAGAAAGTGTGTGTGTGCGCTGTGCAAGGCCTACCTCCAAGCCCTCTGAGCCTGAAGCCCTACCTGCCCCCACCCCCATATTCCAGCAGGAGGGAGGGCAGACCAGGGGCTGGGTGCCTGGCAGGGAGAACAGGCTGTGGGTCCTGGAGGGCAGAGGTGGGACATGCAGCCTTCTAGCCCCCCACATTACTTCCCCTCTCTGGGTTCCAGGACAAATGGGAGGAAAAGGCTCGTGAGCTCAAGAGCTTTGACATCTCCCCTGATGTGGGTCTCATGACACTGGACACACTCATGAAGTGCACCTTTGGCAAAGGACACAATGGCCTGAGCCACAGGTCAGAAGGCACTTGGAGCTGACCACAGTCTCAACCCAGGCTAGCTCAGAGGGGAGAGTTGGCAGGACTCCTGGGCCCTGGTCCGAGAGGAGACAGGGTCTCGCCCCAGGGAACCCCTTCTTGTGGAGAGCGGGCCTTGTCCACGGTGGGGAGACAGATTCTGTCTTTAGTGGGGAGGCTTAATGGCAGGGAGAGGAAGGGAGAAAGTGTTGCAGTTGGGGCTGGATTCCTGGGATGAGGCAGCCTGGGGCTGTGCTGTGGGTGAGTGTCTGAGCACCCCTCTCCCTTCCATTGCTGCACAGGGACAATACCTACTACCTGGCAGTCAGAGATCTCACTCTGCTGATGCAGCAGCGCCTCGAGACCTTCCACCACCATAACGACTTCATCTACTGGCTTACCCCGCGTGGCCGCCGCTTCCTGCGGGCCTGCCGGGTGGCCCACGACCACACAGGTGGGCCTTTCCCGCAATGCCCGCCCACAGGAAGTGTAGGTTCTAATCTAGCTCCCCTGGGCACCCCTGAGATGCTGCGCATGCGGGACTTCTGTTCGCCTGTGGGCAGAGGATGAGCCCCAGGTAGTGACACCCTGTACTCCTGGCACAGACCAAGTCATCAGGGAACGGAAGGCAGCCCTGCAAGATGAGAAAGAACAGGAGAAGATCCAGAACTGGAGGCACATAGATTTCCTGGACATTCTCCTGGGGGCTCGGGTGAGTGCACAAGTGCCCACCCTGCCCTGAGAACTGGTTCCAGACCATTCTCCTGGGACAGGGTTCACTGGACAGCTGCAGGGGCCCTTAGCTGCATTTTCCTCTTCTTTCCCTGGCAAATATGATGTGTTCCTTCTCCCATGACACACATCAGCAAAGGCTCAGGGGTGGGGAGGTGCAGGATGTGGCTGGCCGTGGTAATGGGGAGATGTATAGTAGCAGGGACCCTGGGTAACATGCCAGAAGGCCTGATGACCAATTCTAGACTTCTAAGACCCTGAAGAATCTCAGCACCTTAGAGTTTTAGAATCTTAGACTCCACTCATTCTTTCATTTATTCACCCACTCCATAAACTCACTGAGCCATGCCCCTAGGTTAGTTCTTGTGCTAGGGATGCAGAAGATGAGAAGGACCTGGCACTGCCCTCCAGGTGTTTACAGTCTAGTGGAGAAGAGAGGAGGTGGATGTTGACTAAGATCTCTTCCTCTGTCAGGTTGCATTCTGTGTGTCAAATGAGCAGGATCAGCAGTCCAGGCTGGGTAAGGTCACAGGTCACTGGCCAGAGGGATCAGGGAAGGCTTCCTGGAGTAGGAGGCATCCAAGCTTAAGTTTGGGAGATCAGATAGAAATCTGGGGGAAGGTTCTAACCTTCATTCTGAAGCACAGCTTTCACTATCTCCCTCGGACCTTCATTTGACAGCTGCTGTTATGAGTATTTCTTGGTCCCTACCTCAAATGCCTTGGCTTGTTCCATTATGCCTACCCTAACCCAGGATGAAAGCGGGATCAAGCTGTCAGATGCAGATCTCCGGGCTGAGGTGGACACGTTCATGTTTGAAGGCCATGACACCACCACCAGCAGCATCTCCTGGTTTCTCTACTGCATGGCCCTAAACCCAGAACACCAGGATCGTTGTCGAGAAGAGGTCCGTGAGATCCTTGGGGACAGGGACTCCCTCCAATGGTGAGTGAGGCTGCAGGGGAGCCCAGTCTGTCCTGCTCAGCTCCAGGTTGTACCCATGCTGTCTGGTGTCATAGCAGATCACACATGGTGACCCTGGAAATCAGGTGAAAGCAGCAGCAGCTGCCCTGTTACCTCCATTGTGTGTACACACCGTGAGCCCCTTCTCCAACAGCAGAGCCTTTTTATACGTGAGCAACGCAGAGAAGGTTGTCCACAGGAGACCAGTTTCGTGTGTGTTGGCTCTGAGGGTAGAACCTGACTACCCTTCTGGCACACCACCGCTGATGCTGACCTTTCTTTGCAGCAGGCTCTCTGGGGACCTCTCACACCTCTGCCCTCACATCCCTCTCTCCCTGCCTTCTCCCATCTTGTCAGTACCTGGGCTGGGCAGCCTGCAGGGGTGCAGAAAATGCTCAGTTGATGGGAGAAAGTTTAGATTCATTTGAGGGAGACACACGTAATTCCAGGGTCTAAGATTTGGGGAATGAAGTTTCCATTACTTATTTTTATTGATTGGATGTTGGAAATATTCCAGGGTGTCCAGTCATGTTTCAGTTGCTGTTGGGGGTGTAGGTGGGAAAAGGAGGAGCCAATTTGCTGCCCTTGGGTGTTTTTAGAGAAACTAACTCACATAACTAAAAAGCCAGAGAAAATGGAAGAGTGACATCCCCCCCCACCCCCCATGTTGCAGGCAGAGAAATCAGAAGGGGTAAGGCTTAAGTTGGCTTTCTATGAAGGGGTGAAACTCTGGCAAAGGGAGAAAGAGAGCTGGGCATTCTAAGTTGGGTAACGAAGTGAACATAGCCTGGAGGCAGGGAGCTGAAATATTTATTTTCCCTTCATTCTATCCAGACCTTGAAGCAATTCAAAGGATACGTATTCAATAAAATTTTTCAAATGAAAAATGAGGACTGGGAGGAACACCTAAAGGCTAAGTAATAAGGTGTTGCACAGTAGTTATATTTGGACCTAACATTTGGGTCTGAGCTTCCTAGTGGCAAAAGGGAAAAGAGAAATATATGTATCATTTATATGTATAATATATAATATATAATAAAAATATATTATATATCTTATATAATATATATAATATGTATCTGAGCTTGTCATTGTTCATGCATTTATTACTTCATTCAACCAATGAATATTAGCCCCTGTTCCTTTCCATTCCAGCTCCACAGGGGAAACCAAGCAGAACCTACAAAACTGTCTCTTATGGGGCTTCTATGAGGCTCTGAGAGACACAGGAGTGACCTTTTCTTTTATGGCTGGACACACACATATCTCTAGGGTCCTGGGCTTCCCCTTCCCAGTAGTGAAGATGAAGGACGGATGGAGAAAAGTAGAGTCAGAACCTTTGGGCCTGAGTGGTCACCCCATGTCCAGTGTGGCCTGAACACTTGGAGCACTTCTGTGCCTCCGACCCTTGGGGGCCAGAAGGTAGTGAAGGGGGGAAGCTGGAGCCTGCCTTTCCGCAGGACCCCGTTTCTCCCCACCTCCAGAAAAGACGGGTTGTGTTGCTGGCAGGGATGATCTGGGCAAGATGACCTACTTGACCATGTGCATCAAGGAGAGCCTCCGCCTCTACCCACCTGTGCCCCAGGTGTACCGCCAGCTCAGCCAGCCTGTCAGCTTCGTGGATGGCCGCTCTCTACCTGCAGGTGCGATGGCGTGGATTTGGGGATAGAACCCGAGTCCTCGAGGATGCTTCTCTGACCCTCTCTGTGCCTTTGGCTGAACCTTTGCACCCGTGGCAGAGAACTCATGCTCTGGGCTTGGCCTGCGTTCAGTCCTGGCTCTATAACATGAGTAAATTTCTCTACCTCTAAGCCTCTTCTTCCCCTTCTGAGAAATGGTGGTGAGGAGAGTACCTGCCTTACAGGGCTGTTGTCAGGATTAATTCGCTAGAGCTGTCACATTTAGCCATGCAGGTTGTGCCCTGAAGAACTTCAGGAGGTGCCATTCACATAGACTACGGTGCTGTGCAGTGCCAACCCATCCACCCACATGTGGGGCTTTCTAGAGTGTTCCACTCTGTATCTAGCCCGTGATATGCATCCAGTGACTGGTAGTGGCTACTATGGTTAGTGTAATGTTATGATACCATAGTTAACTGCCTTGAGAGTCAGTGAACTGAAAGCAGAAAGTGTGTAATAGTCCTTGCCTGCCCTGCTAGTCATGGGGGTGGGTTCAGTCCTTTTTCGTTCCATTCCACAAATGTCTGTGTTGGGTGCTCTGCCCAGTGCTGGCGCTACAGGATGTAGGTGTGATGATCCAACCACGCTGATGTCCTGAGGGTTGTCCTGAACCTTCTGTCACTAGCAGAGCTGAGGCAGGGGCTGGTGCCCAGTTAGGCAGGCATGAGGGATCTGGGCCTGTGAGGAGGGAGTCCTGGCTGTCCAAGGACCACCTGGTCACCTGCCCTGTGCTCTGCCCACAGGCAGCCTGATCTCTCTGCACATCTATGCCCTCCACAGAAACAGTGCAGTGTGGCCCGATCCTGAGGTATCCCATTCTTGCGCCCGGAGGTCAGAAGGGGAGGGAGGTTGTGGGGGTCACCCGCCCCTTGGACCTGACAGGTATTTAAGCAAGGTCTGTCCCTCAGGTCTTTGACCCCCTGCGCTTTTCCCCTGAGAATTCAACTGGACGCCACCCCTTCGCCTTCATGCCCTTTTCTGCTGGGCCCAGGTAAGGAGATGCCAAACATGTCCAGGCCCTCAGGACTTGGTAGGGGAGGGTGGACAATGTCATGGGTGAGGCGTCACTTTGGGGAACTCCATGATGATGGGGACCGTGCTGAGTTTGTGGTGATTCTAAAGCAGGCTAAGTTCCAGGGGCCTTCTTGCCATCAGCATATTCATGCCCTTAGCAGGTGGTGGGGTGGGTGAGTCATCCCAAGAGAGACCCCCAAGCCAGAACCCCCAATGTGGATTGACTTAGTCTGGGACCCTTCCATGATCCCAAGCTCTGTTTCTTAAGCCCACGTTGATCAATCCATCAGCCAATTATTCATCCAAAAATAGCTGTTGGTGTTTGTTGGCCACTGAGAGCGCTGCGTGTCATCGCTCCAGACACCTACAGCCCGATGCCTCTTTATGCTCCTCACTGCAGGAACTGCATCGGGCAGCAGTTTGCCATGAATGAGGTAAAGGTGGCCACGGCCCTCTGCTTGCATCGCTTTGAGTTCTCCCTGGACCCCCTGCGGCCACCCATCCAGGTGCTCCAGCTGGTCCTGCGCTCCAAGAATGGCATCCACCTCCACCTGAAGCCACTGGGCCCGGGCTCTGGGAAGTAGCCCTGTCAAGAGTAGGGCCCCAGACAGCCCAGGCTGTGACCTCCCCCTGGGCACCACCCTTTCTAGGCTGGACTGTGGAGCCACTGTGGTTCCCTGTGTTTGGCAGGCTTGTGTTATAGAACGGGAGTAGGTGCCAGCGTAGACAGTCACCTGGAGGGTGGTGCCATGGAAACAGTGTGTCTATAAATGCTTACCCTACATGTATTCTAGAACTGACTCATTCATTCAACAAACATGTGGTGAGCACCTACTTGCTTCGAGAATCTTGCTTTTTCTACCATAATCGGCATTCTTTCTAAAATGTAGCAGAGACTTACATTCCAGAATGGGTGATACAGTGGCTACGATGGAAACTGTGCCTTGGGATTCATGGTTAAGACCAGGCACTCACCCACTCAACATGAAATGCAACAGGGGAGCTTCCTGGGGCAACCAGGGATTACTGACCTTCAACTAGTTGCACCACCTGCTCCCAATGAATGGTCCAGACTCCTGCCTCTCCCCCATCCCCTCAGTCAACCAGCTTCTGTAGCCTTCCTATTATACTGAAGAAATGTCCCTCCTTGACAACTGTCAGTCTCTTCACCTGGACTTTTCTGTCTCCCTGCCTCCCCAACCCTACACTGAAGCCAGGGCCCAGCGCAGCCCCTCCTATGCCCCCAAGCACAGGGAGGACATGTCCAAATGCCTCAGCTCGCATCACAGCCCTCCATGGGCTTTTGCCTCACTCACCTCTTACCTGGCCAGCTCCCCTTCCTGACTCAGCTCATGTTACTGAGGTCACAGAGAATGCCCTCCCTCCGCCTCTGCCTGTCTCATGTTCAAGTCTGAGTCCAGTGACATGCTGTCTTCATCCCTCTGCTGGTGGCACCTCTTGCTCTCCAGAGTCCCAAGACATTATTAATGTTTTATTCAAAGATGTATCACCGTCCAGTGCCCAGGACAGTGCAAGGAACATGGAACATTCAACAATATGCTCAATGAGTGAATGAGTGAGTGAAAGAATGATTGAGTGATGTCTGACTTGAGTAGAGGTATTTGTTTCTTGACTGTGAACTCCTGGAGGCAGGGACAGTTGCTTCCCCAACTCCTAGCATAGGACTTGGCACAAAGAGACAGGCTTAAGAAATACGTTTATATTTGAACGAAGTTAATTGAATTGAAAGTGTAAATTAAAATAGAAAAGAAAAATGAAAACCAGTTCCGAGCTAGGTATTGAGCTGCCTGGTGCTCTCCTGCCCTCTGGTGGCAGCCACATGACTTGCAGCCAAGGACTGAGGAAGGACAATCCTGGAAGAAACCAAATACTAGAGCCAATGAATCTCTGGAAGAAAGACCTAAATCCTGTTCTGTGAAAGTTGATTCACCACTTGAAGAACTCACAGATGTATGGATTCAAAAAAAGCTTGTTTCTAGTGACCAGGTACAAAGTTTATGGAAGTTACTATTTCACAGGAGGATTTGTGTGGCCTTTGCAGGTTTTCAAACAGCAGCTGTTCTGGAGTACACTCGTCCAGCTCAATAGCTATTTCTTTTCTTTTCTTTTTTAAAAAAATATCTTTAATGATTTCAGAGAGAGGAAGGGAGAGGGGGAGAGAGAGACAGAAACATCAATGATGAGAGTCATTGATTGCCTGCCTCCTGCATGCCCCCCACTGGGGATCGAGCCCCCTAGCTGGGCATGCACCCCGACTAGGAACCGAACCGTGATCTCCTGGTTCATAGGTCAATGCTCAAGCGCTGAGCTACGCAGGCCAGGCTCAACAGCTATTTCAAGTATGCTTTATATTTTACACACCAGGAACCTTTACAATGCTACGTGTCATGTGCAAAGTACTGGGTTTTCTCTCAAAAGCAGTGATTCTCATTTTTATACTTTTTGCCAGTGTTGGACTGTGTAGACTTTGGGACTTTGGTACATAAAACCCACCTTATATGAAGATTTTGCCAACTGGAAAGTAGTCGTGCTTATGTGAATATCAATATACAAGTCATGCTTATGTGATAATTAATATACAAACTTTTGTTAGGATAGTCTGCAAAATTAGAGAGGCCCACATTGGCGTGAAACTCTCTTCAAACGGCTAGTGCGCCGTTCACGATCAGGGCTTGGACAGTTAGGACAAGGGTGGTGGCTAGAAATTCAAACACATGCAAATATCACGGGTGAAGGGAGTGGCAGGTTAGTGAAGTAGAAAAGGCAGTGGCTGGACTGCCCTGTGGGAAGAGGGAAAATACCACCTCTTTTTAATATTACTGATGACTGAGAAAAGCAATCTGAAGTTTAGTTGGTATGAAAAAATTTAACTCTGAGAATTATTCCTGAAGTGAGGAAAACACCAGAATCACTGAATGATAGAGCAGTGACCAACACTGAACTGTGGGTGGCCATTGGGAAAAGAGCCGTTTGAAGAGTTGCAGACCAACACGTGCCTCTCTTTTTTTGCATTCCATCCCAACAAAAGTTTGAATGCATATTAACATTCACATAACCATGACATTTCCAGTAGGCAAAATTCTTTCCATGAAGCGGGATTTATATACCATAGTCCCACTGTCTACACAGTCCAACGCTGGCAAAAAGCAAAACACTAAGAACCATCAACTGCTTTTGAGAGAAAGTCAGTGGATAAAGTCTCTGTGTCATGCCCTGAAGTGCCACCTTTCTTTCGTGCATATAGATACCGGCCTCCTTCCCAACACACCAACATACAAGCGCATAACTGCAGACAGCACATGTAAATGTAGGAAGTCACAGTCATTGGGATGTGCACCGGGTGACACCATCCCCCCAGGTACAGGGAGCCTCACCCTGATCCTCCTGAGGGCAGGAAAGCTGTGCAGATCAGAGCCCAGCGCAAAAAGAAGGGCCAGACACCTGCGGAGAGAGCACCAGGGCCGGGACAGGTAGGGCCAAGCGCCTCCTTCTAATCCATGAGGGCACAGGACTCTCGGGGTGGAAGCAAGAGGAGGCGTTGGTCAAGAGCAGGGGTGGGGAATGCCTGGCCCTGTCAAGGCAACTGCAGGCGGGACTCAAAATTCAATAAATGTAGCAGCTTTTTTCACAGCTAAGTTTGAAGTTGCTAATTTTGTATGGACCGTGAATGATGTTATAAATATCCAAATGGCCCTTGGCAGAAAAAAGGTTCCCAAGCCTTGGAAGAGGGATGAGCTTGTACTTCCTCCCATATGGGTTGGGCCACACCTTCGGATTGGGCATAAAAATTAAGTGAGACTTCGATTCCTTGTGGGCAGGGAAAAGAGAGTTAACTGATCATACTCATGCCAGCAGGGAGCATGCATGCACAAATAGTGTGGGAGCCACAGTGAGAGTCACTCTATTGCAGCAGAGGTGAGGTGGACATGGCAAAGCACATGTGTGCACATTAGGAGTAGATACCCATGACCTGGGACTCAGAAGCAAGAAATGATTGAAGGCCTACTTTTTGGAGGAATTCAAGGTAAAACTCACATTTGTCAAGTGCCGTCCATGAGCCCTTGGGGATTATGCATTAACTCATTGAATCCTCACAACAACCCTCCAAGGAGGGTACTCATATTCCTATTGTTCAGATGAGGCACCTGATGGTCAGAGAGCCTGAGTAACTTGCCTATGATCACACAGCTAGGATGTGGCAGGATTGGGATTCAGACCAAAGGTGAGCGAGGGGTGGCCTCCGACCATGGCAGGCTCTCAGATCTAGTCATCAGCTGCTGTCTGCCATTAACCTGAGGGCTCCTCAGAGACTGGATCATCGGACACATGGCTGTGGGTTTCCTGATCTCCCTCATTTGCCTGGATCTCATAAGAGAAAAACGATATCTACTCTTACCCCTGTCTGATTGTCTCTGCCACCCTCACATCTCAGAGACTTAGAATTTTAGAGTGAAGTTCCAAAAGCCCCACCCAGAGTCCAACATCTCATTGTGAAGAAGATTCTGTGGACTGAGTCAGTATTATATCAACTGGCATGTACTGTAGTTCTTTGCATTTGTCACAAAGGAGTTATGTACACATTGCCTCAGATATGAGGGATATTCAAATAGATGTGACCATGCAGAGAGAATTGCCCCTGCAGTCCTGCAATCTGGAGTCGGGATTGGAGCGCGGGGTGTTAGAATCACACAGCATCAGTGCTGTCGGATGGAATTACTTAGCCTCCCACTCAGGCCCGCAGGATTCTACATGTGATGGGTGCTGGTCCTGGAGAAGGACAGGCTTAGCGCTCTACTCGTGTGATGTCAGGTTTGAGATGGGCTCTGTTAGGACAATGTACCCAAGAGAATTATTCTCTCTGAGTTGAAAGGGGAACGCATAGTTATTGAATTTTTGCTGTGGTCCAACTCTGTGCCAGGCATTTTATATTCCTCATCAAAACTACAAAGTAAGTATCCACTTAATGGTGAAGGAACAAGAGCAGAGAGGTTCAGGACGGCTCTAGGACACGGGGGTCTGATCTGCCCTGGCTTCCTGCAGAGCACCTAGCTCACTGCGTGTGGTGAGTTCACACCTCTGGGTAAGGAGCGTCCGTCGGGAAGGTGACGGGCGAGCTGAGCTCTCTGCTGACCAGTGGTACAGGCGGACAGAGTCGCGGTGCCTCCTTGATGCGCACGGTGGTGTGGAGCATCTGATCCAGGTGATTCCTGAAATGAGTGAAACCCAACCTGAGGGCAGGCAAGGCCCAGGCAGACAGGGCTCCTGGTCTAGTTGAGTGGGCAGGGCTCTCCCATCTCCCGAGCACTCACCATGTGATGGAGGCACCATCCCTCAGGAGGCTCTGGATCTTCTTGGGGCACCTCTGCTGGTGCTCAGGGTACGCAACCAGAGCATAGAGGACCCAGGAGATGCCACTGGCTGTGGTGTCATGGCCCTCGAACGTGAACGTGTCCACTGCTGCACGAAGCTCTAAGAAGTGGCGGGAAGAAGCTACTCAGCTTCTTCAGGGGGATCTCACCACCACCCAGAAGGGGTGAGGGTTTTATTAGGAGAGAAATGAGGCTTGATTCAGAGATGAGGGTGGTGGTTACCTATTGTTTTCTGTGAGCCAAAGAGATAGATCATGGTAAATCCACCTGTCAGGTGAACAGCAGTCCTGGTTACACATACTTACTTATCCAGGGAGCCAGGAATCTGTATGAACCCAGATTCTTTGGATCTGAAAGGTAAGAAAGGGCATTATAGGGACCTGGAGGGGACCAAACAAGGCAGGCAGTCCCCAGGAGACAGCTGTCATCCAGACCATGGGCTGCCATCCCTTCCTGATTATTGTCAGCTGGCTATTTGTCTCGAGTGACTGCCCACATGCCTCCCATCCCCAAGTCTCTCTGTTCTAACCGTCACTGTGGGCTCAGGAAGGCAGCAGAACACCCACAGGACTAAGATGGTGAACCTGCCAGAAATATAGGCTCTATCCTCAGTGCCAGAGAAAACACAGAAGTCTGCAGTCTTCCTACAATTTGTGGGGCCTTAGTCATCCCACGACCCAGGGTAGGCAACAGCTAGACGTGCCAAACCGAATTCATGGCAGAATGAAAATTTTCTTTCAGATCTGGGGAAGTTTACATAAGAGATCATCTCAGTCTGGCTAAACTACAAGTCTCTTTGGGGATTTCACAACCCGAGGGCATATATCCAAGAGGAAGGAGCTGCTCTAGCCTCAATGTAGGTTTCATTCTCACCTGATCTTCCCAGGATCACCTTCATGTAGTCAGGGTCATAAACAGTGAATTCGATCCTGCTCCCCCATAGCCAGAGAGGACAGGCACACGGGGATTTCTCTACTCATTTCTGAAACGATTGTAGCTCCTGGTCCATTTGGAACTGTCAGCAAAGGGAAAGACAAATCAGTAAAACCCTTCTCTTTAAGTCTAGAGCTTGGAGTGGTGGTGAAGGTTAGGACAGCCCCAGGGAGGTAATTCTGGATCTATCAGCAGTGATTAGGACCTTAGAACTATATCTGATGAGCCAGGTTCTGATCTGGTTTCTGTTTCTTCATCAAGACTTGGTCTAAGGTCAGATCCTGGCTTCTGGTTGGCCCCTCACTCAAAACTGCCTTTAGAATCCTACACATAGTACGAGCTTGATAAATGTTCAGTTATGGACTGAGTAGTGTACAAGCCTTTTCCACAGACTTATATTTGAGTTATTGGTTGAAGGTAGGGTCTTTAGAGGGGTAATTAAGTTAAAATGAGGTCATTAGAGTGGGTCCTGATCCAATATAACTATCTTTATAGAAAGGGAGACGTTTGGACACAGAAGAAGTCACTCATAGAGAGAAGATGATATGAAGAGACATAACGGAGAATATCATGGTTTACTAGCCAAGGAGAGAGGCTGGAGCAGATGGTGCCTTCACAGCTTCAGAAGGAGCCAACGCTGCCAACGCCTTGATTTTGGACTTCTAGTCTAGAACAGCGAGACTCAATTTCTGTAGTTTTAACCATCCAGTTTGTTAAACAGCCCTAACAACGTAGTACAATTATGTAATGTTCAAAGCACACCTGTGGTTAGGGATGGACTATTGCTTTATCCTGTTTGGCTGAAGAATGAGGAAACTGTTAAAGATACGCCCAGGTTGCTGAGAGTCCCAGGGTGTTTTGCAGAGCCCAAGGGTGCAGGAAGCAGCAGGGACTGGAGGGGCAGATCCAGGGACTGGAGATCTGCCAGGAATGAGTCTCTCATTCTTTCTCTCAGTAAGTACATGCATTCACTCCCTTATCGAATGTTTACTGGGGCTCTACCTGATAAGTTCTAGAAGCTGGCAATATACTCACAAATAAACAGACAATAGTCCCTGTCCTCATGGAGCTGGGTGCACCTGAGCACTTGTACCCTTCCCGGATTGTTACCATACTACCACATTTGTGTCTGAGTGGCACTGTGGGTCCTATCAGAGAATCTGATTGTAATATGGCCAAGGTGTTCCCCTGCTACAAGCAACTGTGGCTGAGGTTGAAGAGGGCATTCAGGGGCTCACCCATGTTGAGGCAGAGATCTCAGAGCAGGTGGGATGGGAAGACATCCCAAAATGTTTCCACTATAGTGAATGAACAAGTACATAAATGAGCAGATGAGTAGATGGATTCACTCATTTATGTATTTGATAACTATGTATTGAGCACTTACTTTGGGTCAATTGCCATCCCAGTTACGGGGATGCAGTAATGAACAACACAAGTCCTTGCTATCATGGAGCTCATGTTCAAGTGGGGGTGCAGGTGGGCAGACAGCCCTGCTCGGACCTGAGCAGTGTCCTGTTTGAAGTACTTAAGGAGGAGACTTTATGCTCCCAGGTCATGTGCATTATTGGGTCTGCCCTTCTCCTTTGATCTAAGGTGGGGACTGACCAGCAGGAACCTCTTACCACCCCAGCTATGTTACCTGGTCCTCTAGGATCCCCTCCTACTAGAGCAGCAGGGGCCTGGGAGACCCCATTTTAGCACAGTAGCATGCCCTCTTTCTGATTGCGTGGTGCCCATGCCCATCAACTTCCCAAAAATCCTGCTGCTGGACACTGTCATTAGTTCCTTTTGGGGACTCAAGGGAGCTAAACTATGTTCTGCATTCCATTCTCCTCTCTGGGCCATTTTGGCATCCACAGCTCTGTCACCCCTCCAGTCAACCACTGGGACTGCCGTCTGTCCCTGAGCATGTGTGACCAGAACCAGTAGAGGCTCTTGTAGAGGGAATGGTACCTTTGGTGTCAGGGATGACAACCCTGTAGGCAAATATCCAGTGCTCACCTGGCCTCCAGGCTTCAGCCACTCCATGCAGGCAGTACTGCCCTGGAGCTGTCTTCACCTGGCTGACTCTGGGAACTGCAGCTACAAAGACATTTCTGAAAAGGGAGACACAAAGAGAGTAAGTGGACAGGTAATAATGTGGGCACACAGGCCATCCTCAGATATGGGCTCTGCTGCCATGGCAGGTACACCTGTTTTTGAGGGAGGACATAGGGGGAAATGGATCTGTTTGGGTTGTTTGAATCCCAAAGATGTTAGTTCCCTTTTCCATAGTCCCTGTCAGATTCCATCCCTACTGAATGCAGTGGGTTTGCGCCTTCAACATGCTTATTCTTCATAGGCATGAATATTATTTTACATTCATACAAATTAGAGTGAGTATAATGGTGGCCCTTGGTCTCTGCCAGGCACAATTCTAACATTATAGGAACTCACCTGAGTGCTATCATTATCATCATCATCCCCAACTTACAGATGAGGAAATCGAGTCATAGAGCGAGTGGGCTGGAAGTCATGGCAGAGCTGAGATATCAACCTAGGTAGCTGGGCAACAGAGCCCATATGCTTAACCGCCCACCTTGTCACTAGTCATCTGGCCTGAAAGATTAGTTTCCATCTGGATTCAACATGCGGCACTCAATTCCCAACTTAGCCAATAACAGAGGTATTGAATAAATGAAAATCTCAGGCAGTATTATAAAAGCAAGGAAAATTTGGCTGCAGTATCTCTCAGGCCAGCAGGATTTGAGAGGCGATTCACACCATGAGTAATACTAGTTATGGAAATAGTATTCCCCACTTACTGAGTCTACATATCATCTAACGCCATCAGTGTACGGAAAAGTCACTGGAGGAATTTTAGTGGTTCCTTTTGTCCAATCTTAGCTCTGAAAGGTGACAACTGCATCAACAAAAGTCACAGATTCTCCAAAGGAACAAATCATCTGGAAGTCATTAGTACCACACTTTGCATGAACAACAAAGTCTTTGGCTGTCTCTCTGTGGCTAATATGAACAGTTCCCATTTGGGGCTCCATTCACCTGATAATCGCTTGGCCTCCTTCTGTGAAAAAGAGAAGCCTCAGGTTTCTGCAGCATCCCATCTCCTAAGGGATGGGCTTGTTCAACCCTCAAACCCTGGGTGAGCCCCTCTTCAGGCAGCCCCTCCTCTCGCTCTGTGCGCTTCGCCTCAGGGACTAGCACTGACAGAGCTGGCTGGATAGCACTGCGGGCCACCCAACCTGCAAGCTGCCCCTTTCTCGATCAGCCTGCACTCCTGCGTCAAGCATCCCTCTGTGTCAGGCCCTGTGCTAGGGATGAACGCAAAGAATGGAGGATGATATCTTCAGTCCCAAGCAGCTCCCAGGGCAGGGGCTTGGAGAGTGAGAGCTGGCAGGTAAAGAGCTTCTTTTTAATGGTGCAACTCAGATGCCAGTGCTCCTTCCCTCAGACCATCTCGGAAGCTTCTTGCTCATATGTGCCAGTAACTTGCCAGGATGTTAGCACTGCAACCACTAGTCTGAAAATTCCCATAGTCTCAGGCCCACCAAGCTGGTCGGTCCTCTACACCTGGTATTACCCCCAGCCACCCTATGGGTGAGCCCCTCTTCCTGGAACCTGATACCTTCTTTAAATTCCTATCATCTCCACAGGCTGTGAACCTCCACAGGCAGGGATCCATGGGACTGATGTCTGTGTTGCCAGGCAAGCTCAGGGCCAGGCAGAGAGGATGGAGTTGAGTGGACATGGGCAGGGAAGCATCTAGAAGTTCTGGTCTGTGAGCCTGGAGCAGGGAGACTCAGGAAGAAACAGCCCTGTCCTCAAAGTGCTGGGCTGACAAAATAGCCTGCAGACCGATCTAAGGAAGGAGGATCTGACAGACTGAGGACACCAGCACACGGGATGCGGAGCCACCGCCTGAGGGGTAAACTGGTTCTGCACCCTGAGGACACATGCTTCTCACACAACAAAGCTTTGTCCCACAGACTTGCTGACCATGACCACGCTGAGAGCCCTGCCCTCCTTGCCCTCCCTCTCCCCTGTCCCGCTCCCTTTTACCTCCTTGTTGTGCCCAAACAGCCAGTGGGAGGGAGGGGATGGGAACTGCTGGAGAGCTTTGAGCAGGTAGAGCTGGGCTGCCTTGAGCAGCAACAGAACCTGTCCAACCAACAATACCACCTGCGGGAGCCCAGAGACACTGCCCAGGGGCCTCGTGGGGCTCAGCACAGAGACACTCATGCTGCAGTGGTGTCTAGGCTGCTGACTGTCTCTGACCACCTCAGGCCAGCCTGGAAGTTTTGTCCCACCCACCTGTGGGGAGGGGGAGGGGGAAGGGCAGAGCTTAGCCACCAGAGTTGATCCATGGGAACAGGATGAAAAACTTTTTCAGCTGTCAGCGACAATAGTTGTCATTTCGTTCCCACTTATGAGTTGTTTGAACAGACCTGTTAATGTGCCAGTCAGTATGCCAGATCCTAGGACACAGCTGAAAGCAAAACACATGAACACTGAGGTCTAGAAATCACAGTCTAGATCACCAAATGTTCAGTAGGGGTGGTTACAGTATTTAATTATCATTTCCATTTCAGAGATAAAAGTTGGTCACAGATGGGTAAAGTGGCCAGCAGAAAACAGCCATTAACAGTTTGAGTTGGGGTTAGAATCCTTCCCTGTGATCTCCAAAACTGCCTGCCTACCTGCTCCTGAAGTTTTCCCCAGGGCTTGGCCCAGTCCCCTACTCAGTTGTGACCCAAGGGGAATGTGAGGGTGGACAGAGCACTGACCTTATACTCAGGAGGTTCAGCCTCAGGTCTGGCCCACTACATATGAAGTCAGCAGCAGATAATCTCTGAGCCTGTTTCTCCTTTTGTAGGTGGGACAATAATCTTTCTCCTAAGAACAGCATAGAAATGCTCATTCATTCATTCACTCAGCAAATATTTTTTGAGTGCACAATCTAGTAGGTAAAGTCAGAAAACAGTACAATTCCTTTACTGGAGGAATGAATGGTGGGTTGGGTCCACCCAGGGAAGGAGAAGACTAAATGAAGAGAATGGTGTCTTAAAGCATGACTAGAAGTTTGTCAGGTGGAATTTGGTAGGTAGAGGGATGGGCACTGAAAAGTCATGGAAATCATATGTAAAAGAGAAAGGGATAGGAGAAAGTTAATCTCTTACCCTCAGTGAGTTCATGATTTTCTTCCCCAACATCAAACCCAAGGCCCATAGTTCAGGTAGTAAAACAAAATACATTTCAGGAAAAATTCCTTGGCAGACCTGTTCCTTCACCCATCTAAACTCTTACTCCCAACACCCTCCTCCATTGCCCTGTCTAGTGACGGATGACTCATCACACAACCAGAGTTCTTTTCCTTCACCCCTAAATCCTGGGCTCTTGCCCAAACTCAAGGTCCAGGACATGTAACCTTTTACACCCATTCCCCCCAACCTTCCCCCAGTTCTTGGTTATTTTCCATCCCTCTGGCTCAAATCCCAGGGACTCTTGGACTTTGACTCCCCCTTACTTGGCTCAGCACCAGCTTTTCACAATCAGTATGAGGGGCAGTAGTGGAGGACTTTGGAGTCAGAAAGCCTGGGTTTGAATTTTGGTTGTAACTCTTTCTCTCCCTGAGCCCTCAGTTCCTTCTATACATTTGGGCTCATAATGCTTGGCGATAGCTAACATTTAGTGAGCACTTACTATGGTCTAGACACTGAGCAAAGAATTCATATGTTCTCTCCCACAACAATCCTACAAAACAGATCTTTTTAAAAAAATCCCACAACTCTAGTTGAGAAAACTAAGGCACAGAGAGGTTAGCTGCCTGCCCAAGGTCACCCAGTTGATAAGGGATAGAGCCAGGATTCAAACTCAGGCCTTCTGGCCTCAGAGATTTGCTGTTGACCATTGACTTAAAGAGATTTCAGCCCAAAAGTGATGGCCCCCAAACTTGCAGGAGGCATGTCATCTTTGCTCTGTTTTATCCTGTGTTTCCAAGTAGCAGGTGAGTGTTTCATCACCTCCACATATTGGTGTAAATGCAAGCCTTATTATCCAGGGAAGCTTTTTGAGAAAGTGTTGGGCAAACCATGTGGTCAGATGTAGTCATCACTGAAATGGTATTTATGGAGAATTTTTAATGATATGAGAAAAGCTTATAACAAAGTGATCAAAGCAGAATGTAGAGTATGAGCTTAACTCATGGAAAGTTGTGCTTGCCTGGGTCAATATTTATTAACTAGTGAATATCTTTTCCCTTCATTTGATATCCAGACACTCCAACCAAGGTCTCCATGAATATGGAACTGTCCTGACGATTCTCATAGCCTGAAACACGGGACTGTGCCTGCTGATGACACCCAATATATACTGAATTGTTGAATGAAGGAAGAAGGGAACGAAGACCACCTTGGACTGGTTAGGCCACCATCTTAAACAGACTAGATTCCGTTTGGGGTGCCGTATTGTAAAAGGACATTAATATTTTTATTCCTGGATGTTTTCTGCTTCAGCTTATAGGCAGCAGAAAGGAAGAGGAGGCGGTGTACAGTCAAGCCCCAAGGCAGTGGCTTGGAGCATTACTCAAGTGAGTCGGCTGCTCCAGGAACTTCTTGGTTTCTAGGTTTGATAAAATTGGGTTTGATACTGATGCAATTTATCACATTTGGTTTACTTTTGCTCCTCTACAAAGACTGTAACCACCAGGCAAAAGCCTTTTAAACCTGAATATTTACTTGGCTTTTCCATCCAAGGGAACACACAAACTATCGTTTTTATTTTCAGCTGGGGACATTCTGCATCATGACCTTCGACCTGAAATGAGAGATACAGATAATTTTGAGAAAGTACTCAGTACCCTGTACAGTGCTGGCATGCAGCTAAGCTTCCAAAAATGCCTCATTTGCCTAAAGTTTCTATTTTCTTTCTTTTTTCTTTTTTTTAAAATTTATCTTTATTGTTGAAAGTATTACAGGTGTCCCATTTTTCCCCCCAATTGATCCCCTCCACCTCGCTCCCACCCCCTCCCCAGGTCTTCACCCCATTATTGACTGTGTCCATGGGTTATGCTTATATACATATAACTTCTTTGGTTAATCTCTTCCCACCCTCCACCCCCTTTCCCTCTTTCCTCTAAAATATGATTGTCTGTTGCGTGCGTCAGTGTCTCTGAATCTATTTAGTTCATCAGATTCTTTTGTTCATTAGCTTCTTCTTAAAGAAGATCCTTCAACATTTCCTGTAGTGCTGGTCTGGTGGTGATGAACTCCTTTAGCTTTTTCTTATCTGTGAAGCTCTTTATCTGCCCTTCAATTCTAAATGATAGCTTTGCTGGGTAGAGCAATCTTGGTTGTAGTTCCATGTTTTTCATCACTTTGAATATTTCTTGCCACTCCCTTCTGGCCTGCAAGGTTTCTGTTGAGAAATCAGCTGGCAGTCGTATGGGTGCTCCCTTGTAGGTAACTGCTTTTCTCTTGCTGCTTTTAAGATTCTCTCTTTGTCTTTAACCTTTGTCATTTTAATTATGATGTGTCTTGCTGTGGGCCTCTTTGGGTTCCTCTTGTTTGGGACCCTCTGTGCTTCCTGGACTTGTAAGTCTACTTCTTTCCCCAGATACGGGAAATTTTCTGTAATTATTTTTTCAAATAGGTTTTCAATTTCTTGCTTGCTTCCTCCTTCCGTTACCCCAATAATACAAATGTTGGGCCTCTTGAAGTTGTCCCAGAGGTTCCTTATACTATCTTCATATTTCTGGATTCTTTTTTCTTTTTGCTCTTCTGG